TGCATAATTTCACGTTACACCTGATCTTGAAAGCTGATTGGTGCGCAGAATTTTTGGAGGTGTTCTTGGGGTAGTTGACAAATGATTAGCTGCACGTGCCGCTTTGTGGCACGTGTCCACTTGCCAAATTAAGTTAGAGCAGCAGTATTTTAATAAATAATAGTCGAAACTATTTGAAGCACCCAAATCTTTACCATGATTGTAAATTTGTTAGACCCTAGGATAGAAATTTTTTATTTAATGTAGTTTTCTAGTTATTGTCTTCTATATCATAAAAATTGTTTGTACTATCAACCACAATGGTAGTATTTTTTCTATATCACCCAGGCGTCGTGTTGTTGATATTTAGTTCAAGCAGTTTTTAAAGACACTAAGGAAAACTTAATAAAGGTGCAATATTGTTTTTTTTATATAGCAAAGTAGTAGCAACTTTTGTCAGTGTAGCTCTTAGTGTTGTTGACTAGAAGATGCTGAAACCTCTACCGGAAGAAAATTCAACACCAACTACCGATTCACCTCTACCGAAAGAGGATTTAACACCAACTGCCGATTTATCTCTACCAAAAGAGGATTTAACACCAACTGCCGATTTACCTCTACCGAAAGAAAATTTAACACCAACTGCCAAATCACCTCTACCGGAAGAAAATTTAACGCCAACTGCCAATTCACCTAGATTTTCACTAGAAGCAAGATTCAACAACACTTGTTGCCTGGTCAAGAGAATTACTGGATTTGTCAAACCCGGTAACCACTCTGTGGTCTCAAATTCAGGGTTCTAACTTTGTTATTATCGAGTCTGCTAGTTCTAAAGAAAGAGCTGGCAACGTATTTTAATAAAAAGAGATGATGCATTACTAACTCTTTTATAATAATGAAAGGACGCTGATATCGGATTTAACCAACATCACCTAAACTAATCAAGAATCTATCTGATTACTCAAAGTAAGTTTGGAATTGGACGGATTAATAATTTTTGTTTTTTTATTATTATTTATTTATTTATTTATTGATTGATAAACTTTATAAAATTTTTTAACTTAATTAAATTCATTTTAGAGAATTATAATTTATCACAGTACGATACATCGCCAGAAGATGTACTCTACGATCAACAATTATTCATAAGAAAAATAGATTTGTGATTCGTTACCACAGGTGCTTTCTTTTGCGTTGATTTATTCGCCCATGATAACTGGTGTCGTAATGATAATGTTTGGTTTAAGCAGTTTTTAAAAATACCATGGATAACTTAATAAGGTGCGATATTGTTTTTTATATAAGCAAAGTGGGAGCAACTTTTGTCAGTGTAGCGAGTGTTGTTGAGAAGCTACCGAAACCTCACTGGAACTCTACTGGAAGAAAACACTGTATCCATTTATGCATTTTGATTATTAAAACTAACCATAAATTCTAAGCTAACTATTAAAAATTTACAGCTTAGCCGTGACAAAAATTTCTACTAGAAGAAGATTTAACAACACTTGCTGCCTGGTCAAGAGAATCAGGGCTCTAACTTTGTTATTATTGAGTCTGCTAGTTCTAAAAAAAGAGCCGGCAATGTACTTTTTTTTTTTTTACGTTTAATAAAAAGAGGTGGTGCATTACTAACTCTTTTTATAATATTGAAAGGATGCTGATATCGGATTCAACCAACATCACCTAAATGAATCAAGAATGTTTTTTAATTACTCTGAAGGTTTGGAATTGGGCAGATTATTAAAAATTGATAAACTTTATAAATTTTTTTTACTTTATTAAATTCATTTATGGAATCATAATTTATCGCAGTGCGATGCATATGCCCGATGATCAATTTTATAATAAGACATATATGAAATACTTGTTAGAAAATTTTTTTATTAGAAAAAAAACTCGATTTTTTTTTGTCCCCCCCAGTGAAAATTATGCATTATAAAATATAAATATCAAAATTTTAATAATATAAAATTAAGAAATATTTATTATTAAAACTTTAAATTTTTAATAGAAAATTTATTAGTTTACACATAGTGTTTATACTCGGGTATAATTTATTGAATTACATATTCGTGCGACATACTAATCAAAACAATTTTTACAAACGAAAAATTAAACCCTCACTTATGGTTAGGGTAAGGGTGGGTTTGGGATCAAGCAAGATATAGATTATACCAAAATTTCGCAAGGAATTTTTTTTGTTAGGAGCCAAAAGGTGGTTTCATAATCAACATTTTGAGATATCTATATTGCCCGTGTACATACACCCCATGTACAAATAGAAATTGCCTTTTTAATAATTTGAAAATTTTGGATTTTTATTATGTTTTTACTATGTAAATTTTGTAAAATTTAATTGTAAATTTTATGTTATATTTTTATAAAAATAATTTTTTATTTTACATTGTCCTTAAAATATGATAGTAACTAGCGTATAACCCGTGCCTCCACAACGGGAATTAGTAAAAGTTATCAAGTGAAAATTTATTTTTATGAGATCACCCATGACAATTAGCCAATCAAATTACATAATTTCGTATGAAGATTATAAATTAATATATAAAAGTATTAATTATTTCAAATATATAGAGGACATAATATAGATAGATGTAATATGAAGTAAAGGCGGCATTCATTTTAATAAACCCAAACTCAATTACAACCAATTTAAAAATTCGTGGACCACCCTAAGAATTCATCTAGAATTATTGTCGGGATGGCGGGTGATCACGTGCTTTTAAATCAATATTCGATTACTAATAGTTAGATTTGGCACAGTAAATTGTTAAATTTTTGAATTTATCATTATATATATGTATTATATCAAATAGATCATAGTCAAGAAAAATCGTTATTTGAACTTAAATATTGTATTTATTTTTATTTATTATACATATTTCAATAAAACAATATCGATATATATAATACATAAACTCGTGATCATCTGAGTTCTTGACCAATAGAAATATAAATAGTTAAACACCTCTTAACGATTGTGTGAATTATGTATCGAAGTACAAAAATAAAAATATTCTGATACCAAAAGC